ATTTCAGGGAGTGTCTTTCAATTTGACTGATTTGCAAGTTGACCCTAGTTTGGCAACAGATTAGGGCTGAATTGCAAGGTATACCACTTGCACAAGGATATAACCCTATGGGGAAAAAAAGCCATTTACAAACAAAAATGTTGTAGACAAGATTGTTGCAGAGATAGAGAAAGGGATTCCACCTGTATTTCATTGTCCTGAGAATTAATCGCAGTTTATTTCGGATCAGCGCGAAAACGTAGGTTCTGATAAATTAATTTACAAACTATTTAAACGATGACTGACCTACAGTGTTTTTATTTTGCATATATTTTTTCCTGCTATGGCAAGCAGATACGATTGTAAACAGGAGTTCGAAGATGCATTAAATCACGAAAGCTCTACCAAGGAAACCATGAACGGTTATCGAGACCTTCTCCAACCACATTACGTGAAACCCGTGTTGATCCTGACCTGGTTGACCCTCGTGAGACACTTTTGCGGAGGCACGGCGATAATGACATTCATGGCGCAGATTTTCCGGGAGTCCAGTTCCGGTTTGGACTCGGAATATTGCGTCATAATCCTCGGGTGCGTTCAAGTCACCTGCGTCGCAATTTCCGGTACCATGATGGACTTCATGGGCCGGAAAAAGTGCATCGTGGTCTCGGGGATCATCATGGGTACGTCGCAGGCCATCATGGGTGCTTATTTGTACGTGGAGGAGACGCCTGGGACCCAGTACTGGGCTCAAAGGTATATGCCATCGAGTAATTATCCGGATTTGGGAAATTATTCTCTGTTAAAATGCAAAGCGCAGTTTTAAAATTAATTTTCCAAACGTTCAAAGGAATAATGGAACTTGCCACCTGCATGGAAGTATTCGGAAAATTTAAGAACGAAAACTTTAAAAAAAATTCAGAAAATGGATTGAAATTGTTGGACGACAATTTAAAGAGAAAAAAAGCCAACATGTTTCCACGCAAATCGACTCATGCGGAGTAAAACATTTGGATATATCAATTCAGTGATAATTAAAATGTTTTCAAGGAATTATCTTCACCGGTTCCATCACGAGAAATGCAAGTTGACAAATTTTCTGATTTTTTCGGACGTTTTTCTTCATAAGTTTTTCTTCAAAGCATTTCGTGACCAATGGAATTTTAGTTTCTAGGGCATCTGACATTATGACAAATGCTATGTTATATTGCAAGGGATTTAAAGTTGTTAAAAACATTTTGAAGCGTACAATATGACAAAACGGACTGTTCATCGCTAAATGAAGCACGTCGAAATCAGCTGTTTTCTGTTTGAAAAATTATTCTGCACTGTGACGCATGCATCACGGAACTTGAGTTTTATTTTATTCAAAGATTATTATCATTTTTAAAACTTATATTATGCAGTCCGAAGCAGTTGGAGTCTGTTATTGCGAAGTATGAAAAGCGTCTGGCCTGTTAACCGAGACAACATCTTGATTTTCAAACGGATCATATTGATTCCTCTGCTGTATCGACTGATGCAGGTACAACTGGATCCCGGTGGCAACCCTGTCGACTGCGATGCTCGGCTTCGGACTCGGCATCGCCTCGAGCATTTTCGTGCTCGTCGGCGAAGTGATTCCGATCCAAATCAAGAACGTGACGAACGGGATCATGTCTGCCCTGAACGGGGTTTGCGCCTTCTTGGCCGTCATCAGCTTCCACTGGGTGCAGGGCCTCGTCGGGGGTTCTGGGGTCTTCTGGCTCTTTGCCATTTGCTGCTTTGCTCTCGTGACTTTCGTGATCGTGGCTGTGCCGGAAACCCGGGGCAAGTCCCTGGGAGAAATCGAGCGGGGTTTGACCAAGACGAACTTAGTCGAGGTTGCGCGACAGATGTCGCCGCCGGCGGCTGCGTCAGTGTGCGGCATAAACAATAAGGGAGATGATGATGAGGGCAATAAACCTGCTGCGAATGCTTGAGATATACGCGATTCCGGCGATGAACGCGTGTCTTTGTCATTTCTTCTATTTTTGTTGCTGTGATTTTTTTATGCATGTGTGTGCATAAAGCTGTCATTTTTTGAATAAAATTACGAGGTTTTTCTTTCTGAAAAGCACGTTCTGCTTCGCTATCGCTGCACAGCAACTGTTGCTCATGATCGGTGCCTGTCTTTTGTTTTATTCTGTTCCGCAATGACAATAAGCGAGATGATGACGTATTAAATGGAGATCTGAGTAATTCAAGAAGATTTTCAACTTTGAATATTGTACAGTATATATTTTACTGACTTCATTTGATGACTTCAGACAGAGGTTAAAACAGAAAGAAACAAAGAAGCTTTCCAGTCTGAGATGATTCGTTTGTTGATGATTTAATTTGGGAAAGTTGTGGGATTTTTCTTTTGTCGAAATGTCTTGAATATTCAATCATTTTTGATCGTTTTCAAAGATATGGAACTTCGTGTTGACATGCGTTTTTATTGAATTCTTTATATTCATGTGTGTTCATGCAGAAGAAACATGTTCTGCAAATTTATATACAGAATTAAAACCGTGATTGGAAGTTCTTTATGATGGCGCCGATGAAATATACCTTTCTGCTGATCTTGAATTTATATGATCGTCATTTTTTTTACACAATCTGTCAATGGGAAAAAGTTGTTTGGTAATTAGCTTTTTTGTGGCTGAAATTTTTAAAAATATTTTAGGCACTTCCAAAAGCCCCGATTAAAAAAAAAGTCCATTCAGGCCGTTGGACGCAACCTCGCAAATTTGTAACTTTTTTGTATTTCTTGACTCAACCTGAACGTGGGAAGGCAATTATATTTTTTAAAGATCAATGGAAGATTCAAGTGACTTGAAATCACATGATCAATCCATCACAGCACCAGAATTGAGAGCGTTACATTTTTCGATATTCTAAAATTAATTTGTTTTTCACACAAATTTTGGATGAATATTTGTTTTCACATAGTACGCACCTTTAATTATAGGAAGGATTATAAGTTAAATGAGACGAAGATTACCTGGAAAATTTATCGTGAACTTCTTCTAGCATTAATTACGAAATGCCAAAAACTCCATAAATTCGTTGGGTCAAAGTACAGCTAGAATACGTACATCAAGTTTTATAGTCTAAGTAATCTAAGATAAGTAATGTGTACCTTAAACCTTAGTGCATTGCAATGGAACCTGCAGAAAAGAGTTCGTTACAATTTTTATAACTAAAACAATAAAACTATGCGTATGATTGGAAATTAAAACTACGCGTGAAAAATTAACACTTTCAAAAATGTTAATTTCCCTTCTCTTTGCTTTTAAATGCAGCTTTACGACGAACATGTGCGAAAGCATTGAGTATAGATACTTCTTTAGCGTACGTAAGCAATTTTTGAATTGGCTCACGATTGTGACACCTAAAAACTAGTTTATTCAGTTTCCATTCACATTTTTGATATTCAAAGGCTAGTAAGCGTTTGTAGGGACCTAACATTTTCACGGTGGTTAATTTTTCTGTCCATGTTTCACAGCAAGTTTTTGTATGCAAATATTCGCAGATAAAAATGAGTTAAACACAATTCTATAGAGATTGAAAAATAATTGCGTCAGCATAAATTTGATGGTTTGGCATTTCCGAATCATTGAATTAGTTAAGCAGACATGTCGTCGTCGTTTTTTTATTTGTGGCTTCAGTTGCGAGGTGATTGAGAAAATTTCACGAAGAGCAATTTCAACACTCCTGGGAATTATCCAATTACGGTAATTACAAACTGCTATCGAAAACAATAACTTTTATTCTCCTCCTGAATTTCAAAAATGTTCATAAATTAATTTGTTCCTCATGAAGACGACGAATCAGCGCTGGTGGTGAAAAATAGCCAAATCAACTTCCGAATCTTTCTTCATGCTTTTATATTTGGCCCTGATTTAGCCCTGGTCTGATTTTTCCCACTTTCCAAATGATAAATAGAAACGTTCCCGATATTTTTTTTTTAACTCGGCGAATAATTTTTGTATGTGTCCAGGAAAAGGTCCAAAAAAGAATTCAAATACAGTAGTGGAATGTTTTTCAATTATTGGTGGTGACTATTGTTGACGGAATCATTGATTCACGTATCAGCGAACCAGATATTACGAAAAATGGTGTTTCTACAGTTGCATTGTCAATCTCTTGTGGTGGAAAATGGTGCTTAGTAATGTTTTACATTTTCCGAAATTTCTCAGACTTTCATTCGCAAATTCAATCACTTTTGAAAACCATTAGTACTTTACGGAGCAGGCATTCATTCCACAATTTCTCAGACTTTCATTTGTAAGTTCAGTATCTTTTGAAAACCATTAGTATTCTACGGAGCAGACATTCATTTAATTCTTTATCCAACTAAGCCTTGAAATTTTCGTCATGACGTCAAAGCAAAGATAAGTCGGGGTCGTGCTCATGAAATTTCAAAGTTCATCGCTTTATTGGAATCCTTTATTCAATTTTGTCAACGTTTGGATTTGTTTTTCGAGGGTGTGTCGTCAAAAAATCTTCTTCGTTCATGAGAAATTGATGTAAACCCAGATTATCCTTTGAACAAGCTCATAATTCACAGTTGTTTTGAACTCTACGGCGGGAACATTATATTTTTTTTATGCACCATGTGATTTATTTCATGCGCTCGCATTTAATACAAAAAGGTTTTTTCTGAACCGAAAAAACGAAAGCCCGTATCTCAATTCAGTTGCTCTTCTCATCCCTTCATGTGAAGGCACTCAAACACCAGCTGTTGATTGAGTGAAAACATTTTGTATCTTACAATTATTGACATGGTTGCTGCCAGACAATGTTCTCTCGTTAAAGCAATGTTCTCTCTCGGGTTGTGTTAATTTTTGAAGAGAATTTCCGTCACTTTTTCAAGTTCATCCTCGGTTTCGAGTTGTAAATTATCGCAAGTCTCTCAGAAATTATTTGAAGATACGAGATGCCCGAGGGTATCAGTGATTTTTCTGAAGTGTTTAAGATTTGTCTGGAAATGTGAAATTATTTTCGCAATCTTTTTTTTTCCTAGGAATTTGCTGCCTCAGTTTTCCGGAGAAGCTTCGAAATGGGGAAGAAAGATATTAGCAAAGAAGATCCGGGAAAGGAGGAATTTCAGCAGATTCCTTCATTGACGCGACAGGTGAGTTCTTTCTTCACGCGAGAAAATATGTTCTATTTATTTTTGCCAATTTTTATTTCAGATAATTGCGACTTGTCCGGGATGGTCGAACAGCTTTTTCCTTGGACTCGGATGGGGTTATATTTCGGCAGGCTATGATTCGTTGCGAGTCGAATCTGAACTCGGATTGCTTTCGTTTCCAGTCACAGACTACGACGTTTCACAGCTAGGTATGATTTCTTTCAAATTCGAATTCACACGATTCAAAAAAGAATCCTCCATTCAAGAAAATTCTATTACATAATAAATGTGTATATCCTTCAGTTGATCCGCTGTGAGTTTGAAGCAAAATTCGGATTCAGGGTTGAGCGATTTTGATTGAGGCATACAAATATATTCAAGAAANCAAGAAAATTCTATTACATAATAAATGTGTATATCCTTCAGTTGATCCGCTGTGAGTTTGAAGCAAAATTCGGATTCAGGGTTGAGCGATTTTGATTGAGGCATACAAATATATTCAAGAAATATTCAGATAAATAGAATTTCCTCCTTTTTACAGCAATTTTCTATGGGGAAAAGATCCTTAGCATTTTTAAAACACAACTTTCCTCGCGTGTTTCAATTTTACGTTATGCTCGTGCAAATAATTACGATGACTGCAATTTTAAATCCTAAACGAACACTACGAGGAATGTTTGTGATATGTTCAACCGAAGCCTTCAAGTTTAGAAAAATGTATCACATTCAATAAGTTATGATTTGGAAAGCAGTTCAGCTGATAGAGTTTTAGCTTCTTAAATTTTTAGTCATGAAAAAAATTGCGAAAAAACACGGCGTCACTCATGATTTCTTTCACGAGTAAACTTGATTTGTATTTGACGATGGATTGAAATTCAGTGTGCAAATTTTCTCAATAATTTCATGAAACGATGAAGGGAATTTGTATTTTGCGTAGATGGAAAAGCTTGGAGGATGAAGTGCCGCCGATTTATTTTGGGATTGAGACGCTTCAATATTTGAAATTATTATTTTAACCTTTTCTTAGGAATGTAGAAAAAACGCTGACGATGAGTGAAGAATTTCTTCAGAAATCTTCAGCCAAAATAATTTCTTCATGAAGAGGGAAATAATCCGCGAATTTATTTCCAGACTTTTGCTACAAAAATCAGTCCAAGTTTTTGGACGATGATTGATGGAAAAAAATGTCTAGGCTCACCTTTAAAAAAAATAAGAAGAGCTACGTGTTGTTGATTAAACTGAACTGCTTGAAATCGCAAGAAAGATTGCAAACTACCCTCCTGGGTTTTATTTTATTTTTTGGAATTTTCTCCTTTCTTTCCGTGAAATTCTGCAGCAAGTTTGCCAAACTTTGGGCTGATCGTGGCATCGTTGATATCAGGCAATGTGTCTGGGAGGTTCGGACGCAAGTGGCCCTGGTTGGTGTTGCAGATTGTGT